TTTATTAAGCATCTACTATGTGCCACGCACATAGCAGTAAACAAAATAGAAATTCTGCTTGCTTTCTCGTGGGGGAGACAAGTGATGAGCAAGTTAAGTAAGTAAAGACATAGCGGGTATTGGGTAAGTGTTATGGAGAGAAAGCAGGGAAGGGCGTGTCTGGTGGGATGGCAAGGGACACATTTAAAGAAGGTCATCAGGGGAGGCTCTCTGAGAAGGCATCTGGGCAAAGATCTGAAGGTGAGAACAGAGCAAACTTGGAGCAGAGCTCAAGAGAGGGGTGAGGGACAAGGCCAGGGAGATAGCTGGAAGATCACGTGCAGATGGGCATGTGGGCATGTAGGACTTGGGCTAATATTCTGATGGCCCGGGACTGAGGCAGTCAGGGAGAGCTACCAGGAGGAGGCAGAGACATTTGTTAGGACATTTAGGACGTGGAGGCAAGTGGGACTCTGACGGCTAAAGATGGCAAGAAAGGCAGTACCATCTGATGATTAGAAACTTCCCCTCTGGAACCAGACCCAGGTTCGAGTCCCAGATTGATTAGTTGTTCCCTATGAGACCTTGGGCAAGTTCCTTACCTCTCTGAACGGGTTTCCTCCTCAGTAAAATGTCAATAATACTAGTCTCCACCTCCCACAATGGTTGACAGGAGGGAAGGGGGCAGCACAGAGCCTGGGCCACAGCGCATGCCTCGCATGTGTTTGCTGATGTCTTTCTGGGAAGGAGCACGTTCCTAGCAGTGCCCTTAACAGAGTCACCAGGCCAGCTCCCATTTCCTCTTCCCTTCCCAGTGGCCCCCAGCCCTCCAAGCCTAGTTTGGTTGAGATACCAGGTGAGTACCTGCCAGGGGCTGGGGTCTTCCTTGGAAGGGATCCAGAGTCTCATTATCTACAGCCTCCTCCTCTTCTCCTCCCGGGTGTTTGCATATGCTGTCCCCCCGTCCCTGGGGCACTCTTTCCCTCCCATCCCCTTCGCCTGATTCCTTCCTAGTTGGATCTCAGCCTAAAGGTCACTTACTCCAGGGAAAACATCCCTGCACCCACCGTGCTCTTGAACTTTTATCTCTTAGCTCTTATCAGAGTCTGGAGTACTGTCTGTCCCTGCCTCGAGACCGAGAGACCGTATAGGTCTTGCTCACTGTTATGTCCTTGGCACAAAGGAGGCACTCAATTCATAATCGTCAGCAAAACCCAGCAGCCTCAGCTCCAAACGGCTCAGTCCGATCCCCTGGCCATTTGCTATACGTCGGGGTCTCCGAGGCCCAGAGAAGGTAGGAGACCTGCCCACGTTGCACAGCAGTGCTCCCGCCCCCGGTCCAGGCACCCACTGAACAGCCCACCTCCTCGGCCCCCAGACCCCCAGGGTTTCACCTGCCACCTTCCTGGTTTCCTAGCAAGGTAGCTCAGAGAGGGAGCCCCAGGCCGAAGCACATTTAATTTTCATCTAGGAACCGGTTAAGGCTGCAGGCCTGCTCAGCTCTGGGCTGTCAATCAGCCTTCCTCAAGGCTGCATCAATTAGTTTAAAAATATTGAATGCAATTTTGCCTGACACAACATATTGCAGTTACTGCAAAATATAATTTATTTTAGAAGAAGAAATAATTAAACTAATTTGCATGTCAGTCAGCTGAACTGAGATGCCAAGAGGGGGGTTGGGACCCATGAGGGACCCAGCCCTGGGAGAGGGCACCTGCTGCTGGGCGTCAGGGAAGGGCCACTTGGACCTGGGTCCGAGCAGTAGTTGGTGCTGGATGGACAGATACCCAGGCAGCAGGAGGGCCTACTGGCCTCGGATCTAGACCAAGCACTGACCGTAGAGGCAGGAGACCCAGGACCCAACCCAGCTCTGCGCTGACTCCCTTGTGGCTCTGGGCAAGGTCCTGGCCCTCTCTGGGCCTCAGTTTTCTCATCTACAAAATGGGTTTAACAAGACCTCCTTTACAGGTTGTTTGAGGATCAAATGAGGTCATAGATAAGAAAATTTGTTATCGATTGGAAAGTCCTGCGCAGGGTGAAGATTAATTAATTGATGGAGTCTTTGTTTTATCCCAGAAACATTTAAGATGGTAAACTTATGAATTAGTCATTAGCAGTGATCACAAATGCGGCTAACTGTGATCAGGAGGGGTTTAAAGGAAGTCCACCAGAAGTAAGATAACAGGTTGGACTCCCCCACCTGCCGGTGGTTGGCAACCCCCCGCCACATATTAGATTCCTACAGCCATTAAAAAACCTCAGTGACCACGCCTTGGGCATCAGTGTGTTTCAAAGCCTTCCCAGGCGATTCTAATGTGCAGCCAGGCTGGAGGCCACAGCGATGTCATGGGCACACAAGGCTCTGCGGATTCCAGGCCGGCCCCAAATCCAGGGGTCCCTGGGATCAGTTCTGCAGGTGGTAACTAGGCAACATAGAGGCACACACCTTCCCTGCCCACTCGGCTGCCCCGCCTCTGAGACCCGGGATCCACAGCCATGCCAAAGGGTTCAGGGCTTTCCCAGGAGGTGACCTGTAGCATTTTTAAAAAGGAGGTAAGAGGGGTGCCTGGGTGGCTCAGTTGGTGAAGCGTCTGACTCTTGGTTTCAGCTCAGTTCATGATCTCAGGGTCATGAGATCGAGCCCCACGTCGGACTCTGCACTGGGCGAGGAGCCTGCTTCAGAGTCTCTCTCTCCCTCGGCCCCACCCCCCTCGAAAAAAATAAAAGAGGAGCAGGACAACAACAAAAAGGTAATTATGTGAGGTGAAGGACGTGTTAACTAACCTGATTGTGGGAAACATCCCACAATATATACACGTATAAAATCAATACATTGCACACCTTATACCACGTTGTCAATCCTATCTCAATAAAGCTAGGGAAAAAAAAAAAAAGCAGCCACAAGAGGCCCAACAGATTGTAAAGGAATGGCTCATTAGTGGGGTTCTCGCCAGCAGTGGACCCGGCCCCCCTGCAGCGTGTCCCCCTCAGAGGAGCTGGCCCTGCTCTGGGGTCGCCCTTCTGCATGGCGCATAGGCCCCTGCGCCCCCTCCCTCTGCCTCAGCGGGGAGAGAGGTGCCTGGTCCTGGCAGCGGGCCTCACTCTCCCCACCTTCCCTCCTCCCAAACGCACCCTCCTTCTGTCTGTTTAAGTTCTTCAGCAACAGACTCTTAAAAATAACGGCTTGCCCGGCATTCCCAGTCACGACTCCGATCTCTCGCCCCCCCAGAAAAGCCCCCTCTAATCACTGAAGCTGCAGATCTGGGTGAGCTGAGAAGATAAGGTGCCCCTGGCTAAGGGGAGCTCCAGAGAGGGGCTGGGGTCTGCGTTAATTAAGGACTCATCCCCCTCCTTTCCCTGACCCTAGGAGGTGGCTCCCCCTGCGTCCGGATCCCATTTCTCCTTATCAACACACAAGCAGCTGCGGGCCACGGCGGGCGGCCCTGATCAGAGAAAGAGGCAGCCCCACTCCTCCCAGAACTCATGGGGTTCCTGGCTGCTTGGAAGCTTCCAGGCTGCCCCCAAAAGAGCTCCCTGCCCGCCAGGTTAGACGCCTAACCACCCTGCTTAGAAGGGGGTGGCTTCCTCTCTCCCAGTCCTTGAGGTCGCTGGCGCATAGAACTTGTCGGTAACGAACTCATGACTAAGATAGCTGAGAGCAGGGCACCAGTGAGCACCCAAGAGGTCCAGGGGACAAGGGGCAGAAAAGGCCAACATTCAAGGTGCTGCTCAGACAGGCCAGGCTGGGACAAGGTATCCTTCAATCAGTTGATGTCATTGCTGAAAGGACCCTTAAGGATGTCTGTTTATTTAACAAATCCTTAGATAGCACTTGCTCTGTGTTGTATACACAGCTTAAAAATGCTTTGCAGATAGGAACTCAATCTTTCCTCTTAACCAACCCATTACTAGTAGCTCCGTGTTGCTGGTGAGAAAACAGAGGCACCGAGAGGCCAAGTAACCTGGCAGAGACCACACAGCTACTAAGTGGCAGAGTTGAGATCAGAACAACTTGCCTTGGAGACTTTACTCTTAATCACTGTGCTCTGTTCATTTTCCAAATGTGGAAAGGGACATCAGGGAGGGAGGACCAAACACTGGGTCAAGGACAGAGCCATGCCTGGAACTCAAGCCTCTTTCCGTCCATGTTCTTCCAGGCTTCATTCATTCGTTCAACAAATGTATTAGAACTTACTCTGTGCTGTACCCCACAGTGCTGGAACCCGGGGGTTAATACAGCAGGGACCTTGACCTCAAAGACTTCACAGGTGGGGGTGTCATGGTTTTGCTGAAGACCCTGGCCAAGACCTACAGCCAGTGGACTTGTCTTGCCCTCTCAGGATCAGGTCTTAAAAGAGCAGAGGTTTGGAAGCCCCGTTGTCAACTGACCAGTTCTTTAAAGTTTCTCTTCTGCAAAGAGGGGATAGAAACTGACCCAAGCACAGGATTTCCACATGGATACCTGAAATAATGGATGTGGATGCTCCGGGTGCGTTCTGTGCCCTTGATGGTGATGGGATGTCGAGAATGGGATGCTGGTTGACGGCAGTGGTGATGATCGTGTGGCCGGGGGTGGGAGCGGGGGTAGCTATGTGATGGTGACGTGGGTGTTTATGGGGGGTGATGGTAGTAAGGGCGGGGCTGGTAATGGTGTTTGCGGTAGAGAGAGTGATCACGTGGGTGCTGCTGGCCATGCTGGTAAGGGCGCTGATGGGGATGGCCTTGGTGTTTGTGATAACAGAGATGAGGAGGGTGGTGCCTTGGATAGGGCAGTGGGGACACCATCATTCAGATGGCAACGGCCTAATGGCGAAGCCAGCAGGTTGGTGCCTGCGAGAGTGGTGGTGGGGGTGTGACCCCTTCATGCCCGTTGTCCTCAGTCCGGATCCTGTTCCCTGCCTGGTCAACCCACAGATCTCTCAGTGTGACCCCACTGCCTCGCCTTGTCCTCATGGCAGATGGGGGGTTGTCTAGGTCTCACACTTGAGGCCGCTCACCCCGCTCCTGTGCTCTCGCCGCAGACAATCATGCCCAGCTCTCCCGGGCATCCCTAAGAATCCGAATCCTGGATGTGAACGACAATCCCCCAGAGCTGGCCACTCCCTACGAGGCAGCCGTGTGTGAGGACGCAAAGCCAGGACAGGTAGGTGGAGGGGCTGGGGCCTGGGGGTTCTTGGGACTGGCTGGGACACCCTCTACCCAGGTCCAGTGTGGACTAGGCCTCACATCAGCTCCCTGCCCCATCCTACCCCTTCAGCTGATCCAGACCATCAGCGTGGTGGACAGAGATGAGCCTCAGGGTGGGCACCGCTTCTATTTCCGCCTGGTGCCCGAAGCTCCCAGCAACCCTCACTTCTCCCTGCTTGACATCCAAGGTGAGTTACCTCTGAACCACCAAATCCTAGGATGCACAAAGGAGGGGCCTAGCCTCCCCTCCCCTTCCCGTATTACCGGTGGAGAGACTGAGGCACCCAGAGGGCCAGCGTTGGGTCCAAGATCACACAGAAAATCTGGGTCAAGCTAGAGCTGTTCCCCAGCCCACTGGCTAAACCCTGAAGAACAAGCCGGGGGCGGGTGGGCAGAGTGGAGAGGGGGCACCCCAAGAGAAGAGAATGGAAAGATACAGAGAGGGAACAGATGAGGAGTGGGTGGGCCAGAGTCCTGGATGGAAAGAGCCCCCTGGTCTAACTGAAGATTGAAATAAGTCACGTGCACACACTCCCACCCTTCAGTTTAAAAAGCGCTGTATCCCACTCATGTTTCTCTTTGCATCCTCACGGCCACCCTGGGGGGTGATTTCCTTACCCCTCCCCCTATTTTACCCGTGATAAAACGGAGACTCTTGGAGGAAAGGGACCCACCCAGGGCCATACGGGGAGTCAGCGGCAGGCTGGGATTCCAACCCACCCCTGTCTCAGATCCAGCGTGCTTCCTGCTTTCGCTCGCTCGCCACCTTGAAAGTGACTGCCCTGCCCAGTCTGAGCTGATCCCACTGTGAGATGTGCCCCAGCAAGTTCCTCAAGAAGCTGAAGTCTGAGCCTTCGAGCACTGAACTGGGGGTGGGGGTTGGGGGGGTGCGTGGAGGGCATCAGTGGACTGGGAGTGAGGGCCCTGGGTCCCAGGCCAGGCTCAGCTGGGGGCTCTCTGTGCAGCCCCAGCAAGGTCTGCACTTCCTAAGCCTCCATTGTGTCATCTGTAAAATGGGGCTGAAAGGGCCTGCCCCCTGAGATGGCTAGGTGGCCCCCCAAGATGAAGGTATATTGTTAGTACCTGGAACACATCATTTCCTGCATTCAGCAATTATTTACTGAAACACTGTGCCTCTGTATCAGGCACTGTTCTAAACCCTGAAATACAGTGGCAAACAAGACAAAATCCCTGCCCTCGTGGAGGTGACATTCTGGTGAGGGGAGGTAGAAATTAAACAAGTGAATAATATGTTGGGGATGCTAAGTGGCTGGAGGGTAGATAACGCAACCTCGACAAGAGTCTAGACTTGATTTTGTTCAGTGCTGGGCCCCGAGTGCCTAGAGCAGGGCCTGGCACATAGTGGGTGTTCCATAAAATGTGTTAAACAAAACAGGGGAAAATAAAGCAGAGTAAGAGTAGGAGCTATTTTAAATAAGGGGGCCTGGGAAGCCATCTCTGAAGGAATCAATAGTGAGTATGACTCTAAAGGAAATTAGGGAGTGAGCCATGCTGATAACTGGACCAAGAATGATCCAGGTGGAGGGAACAGCAAGTACAAAGGCCCTGAGGTGAGAGCAGGCCCAGGATGTTCAAGGAACAGGAGGCCTGCGTGGGTGGAATGAGTGGATACCAGGACTAGGAGATCAGGTCATGTTGGTCCTTTCTGACCCTGGAACAGGTCTGGGATCACCCCCAAGACCCTTACAACCCTTCCCTCCAAAAGGAGGGACCTCAGTGGCCTCTGAAGCCAGACCTTCTGTATTTCCAAGAGTAATATTAAAAATATTTCACAACCAGTGCAGTTCAGATGACCAACCGAAAGGGACACTGACCATAAATAACCTGGAACAGGACCCTGGAGCCCCCACTGTGCCAGGCTTTACCCCCTTAGTGGCTTGATTGTGTCAAAGTTGGGGGTGGGCATGGGGGGAAGGCTGAGGCAGCAGGGAAGGACTTGGGGCTCGTGGAGTCAGAGTTATTTAAACCTTTTTGGAAGCATTTCAATATTTTAACAAATGGTAGTACCTTGCCCACGCATTATTCCAGTGGTATCCTGAGTTGGCCCCAGGAGATACGAATAGCCCTGGCTTGACCTCGCCAAGTTCACAAGTCTTTCCAACCCGAGGGGCCGGAAGTTCTGTCCCAACTGCCTCTCTTTGACGGGGAGCCGCCAGGAGCTCCCATCCCGCGTGACCCCCTGGAAGGAGCTCCAGGAGCGAGGGTGGCAGCCATGTGTTAAGCTCAGCACAGCCGTGGAAGGGCTCCTCCGCCAGGCCCCTAGCCCCTTCCCACGGCCTGCCAAGCCCCCTCCTCCTCACCATATAAATATCCTGGGTGACAAACAGCTACCCCAACCCATCTGTTTCTTTGTACACATTTGTAGCCAGTTTGGAAACGTGATTTATAAATATTGCTTTTGCAGCCAGGGATTGACACTGATGTATGTCAGGCCAGATGGATGGATACAATGCGAGGCGCAGTTCCTGCCTGGAAGGGTGGGGAAAGGGGCTGGGGTGACCAGCGGCTTCCCCAGGTGAAGCCAGCTGCTGCCCCGGAGGGCTGCTTGGGAGGTTCAGGGATGATGCCCAGGGATCCCCTTTTGTCGGGTGGAGGAGTGGCACGGACCAGAGCTCTGAGAACATATGCCTCCATGGCCAAAGGCAGCAACTCTGAGAAACAAACATCTCCTCTCCACTCCTCTGTTCTTGCTTGGGAATTTGAGGCTGAGCCAGAGCCAGCCACTCATTTTTCAAATCTGTCTACTTCTCTGTGCCTCTACTCCCACTATCCTCTCACACCTAAAACACACAGTATCTTCCTAACTCATCTTCCACATCCACTCTTGTGCTTTAGATTAGAAACGCCCTTGCATAGAATGGAGGCTCAGCAAGGACAGGGACCACGTCTGTCTTGTTCATGCTCTAGCCTCAGGGGCTAAGATAATCCTGACATCCAGAGGGTGTGAATGGATGATTTGTCGTGCTCGGTCTCTTCTTGGCTTAAAACCCACCAATCAATGGCTTCCCATTGCTTTTAAAAAAATAACCCCAATTCCTTACTATGGCCTCTAAGACTTTCCATGATGAGCCCCTGCCCCACCCTGCCCCCAGTTTGACCTTGACTCACTCGAGCCATCACCTTCCTCCCTCCAGTCACAAAGGACTGCTTTAGTTCCTTGAGCATATTATGCTTCTTCCAACCTCGAGGCCTTTGCATCGGCTGTCCCCTCTCCTTGAACTCATCATTCAGTACTAGGCAATAATACCACTTCTTCCAAGAAGATCTCCCTGACCTCTCTCAGACTAAGTCAGGTCCTCTGTTAGGTGCTCTTCCTGTACTTTTCCTTCTTAGCACTCACCATGGTTTGTAATTGTAGACTAAATTGTGGGTTTATTCAATTAACATTTGTCTCTCACATTAGAATATAAGCTCACACCCAGGAATATGGTTGGTTTAGCTCCCCACTGTTTTCTCCCTGCGACTAGGATGGTGCCTAGGACATAGTAGTTACTCAATAAAGATTTATTGGATGGCTGGGTGGAGGATGGATGGATGGATATGGGTGGATGGATGGACAGAGGATAGATGGATGGATGGATGGAGGATGGATGGGTGGATGAGGGATGGATGGTTGCATGGATGAGTGGTTGGAGGATGGATGGTTGGATGGATGGATGGATGAGGGATGGATAGATGAATGGATGGATGGATGGATGGATGGATGGATGGATGGATGGATGGTTGAGGGATGGATAGATGGATGATTTGATGGGTGGATGGGAAAAATAGCTATGTGACCAATTCACTGGATAAATCCAGACAAGTCACTTCTCTCTGAACCTCAACTTCCACACATATAAAATGGAAATAATGTCACAACTCTTGATGGTTGGGACAATTAAATATTACTATATATTTAAAGCATCCACACAGTCCTTGATGCATAGAAAGCCTGTAGTCAGAGCAGAGGAGGCCCACATCATTCCCTTTTCCTCATCTTGCTCTTGAGTCTCCTTTCTTCCCCTTGGGAAGGCAGATATTTTCACAGCCGGGGTTGATTTACCCTTTGACAGGCAGCTGAAGCCAGAGCTTGAGGAGCTGACCCGGGACCACCAGTTACCCCAAAAGTTGCAGTTCATTCAAGTGTCATTCTTCGAGTCTGGCTCGGTGCCAGGGCAGAGACGGGCACATGCTAACCTAACGCCATGTGATAAGCACTGTAGCAGAAATGTGTGTGGCTCCTGCGTAGTCAGAGCGGGGAGGGGGAAGCCGAGAACGGAGGCCACAGGAAGGAGGTGACATTTAGCTGGAGCGTGACAGATGAGGAATTTGCCCAGCAAGAAGGTGGGGACGGTGTTCCCGCTAGCGGGAACGTGGTGAGGAGAGGCAGGGCAGCCTACACGGAGAGCAGGCCCAGGGTGCGGCGCAGGGGACGTGGGGATGGGGCGCGACCGAAAGAACTGCCAGCATCTATGGAGAATTTCCAGGGGCTGGGACCCATTCTAAGGGTTAGGCATGAATTTCACCATAATCCTCACACCAATGTGCTACTATTTTCCTCAGTTACAGATGAGAAAACTGAGGTCCAGAGAAGCTAAGTGAGCTCCCAAGCGAATAAATGATCGACTCGGCATGATTTTTTTTTTAAACATTTTAATGGAGATTTTCAAATGTGTGTAAAAGTAGATAGAATAATATCACAAAACCTCATGATACCATCACATGAGCTTCAACCCATGACCAATCTTGTTTGAGCTGGACCTCTAGTTCGCGTCACAGACGTGCTCAAGGTCACAAGTCAGCTCTTTTCTCCTGCATTGTGTCCACGATTGGGGGAGGCCCGGAACTGAACTGGGTTGACAGGGGCCACAGAGCTGGGGAAGGGACCCAGACTGCTGAAGTCTGAGGGCAGAGAGACTAGCCGGAAGGCTGTGAGGGCAAGAGAAGGACTCAGGAGGGGAGACTGGACGCCCCCCGCAGGGCCCCCTTGTGTGGAGCTGGCTGTGAAGGGTGGAGGTAGCAGCCAGCCCAGCTCAGAGTATGAGCCTCCACACTGGCATCAAAATGATGGAGGCTCAGGGGTGGCCTGACCCATACAGGAGAGGGTGGGAGAGGCAGGAAGGGCAGGGGAAAGTGGGCACCACCTGTCACCAAAGCCCATGCTCCGAGACCAGAGAGCCACCTGAGTCCTGCCTAGCATTCCCAGCAGCTGGCTGAAGGGGTGTCATGAATATGACTTGTGTTAGTTCACTGTCCTCTCTGGTCGCACATGTAGAAAGGAGACCTTGGTGCATGCGAGTCCCCTCATGAGGCCCCAGAGGCCATGCCCCCAGCCCAGCAGGCTCAGCCTCTTAGACTCCCGACAGAAAGCTCCCTCAGCCAAAGCCAGATGCGAGAGAAGACATTCCCAGTCTTGTCCGTGACCCAGGACTTGTGTGGGGCCCAGTAAGCCACAACCCAAGGACCCCAGGACCCCAGAGTCAGGGTGCATTGGGTAGCTGGGGTAGAACGAAAGAAGGCCGTTGAAATGAATGAGGGAAAAAAAATTAACATAGCCGGGGACAGGACCTTGGCCCAGCTGGGGACAGAATCTTGGAAAAGCTGGGGACAGGACCTTGGCACAGCTGGGGACAAAACCTTGGAATGGCTGAAGACAGAATCTTGAGACTGCTGGGAATAGCATCTTGTGACAGCTAAGGACAGAACTGTGGGCTACACGGCTGGGAGCAGGATCGTCAGGCAGCTGGGGGCAGAAGCTGCGGAGATCGGGGACCAGATCCGTGGGTCACTGGGAGGCAAGAGCTCGGGGCGGAGGGAGGCAAATCCCGAGGGGGCATCAGGAGGTGGCCGGGACAGGGGAGGCCAAGCCGTCTCACACACCACTGCCTCTTTCTGGAGCAGACAATACGGCCGCGGTGCACACACAGCACCTGGGCTTCAACCGGCAGGAGCAGGACGTGTTCTTCCTGCCCATCCTGGTGGTGGACAGCGGGCCGCCCACGCTGAGCAGCACGGGCACGCTCACCATCCGCATTTGCGGCTGTGACAGCTCGGGGACCATCCAGTCCTGCAACACCACAGCCTTCGTCATGGCCACTTCCCTGAGCCCCGGCGCCCTCATCGCGCTCCTGGTCTGCGTCCTCATCCTGGTCGGTGAGTCCGGCCAGAGCCATGCCCCCGCCCTGCTGGCCTTCACCCTGGGGCCCTGGATGTCCTTCCCGGGAAACCCCGCGGGGGCCTCAGCTTCCCTCTCCCACCAGGAAGGGCGGCCCAAACGATGTCCGAGCTCTAGCGTGTGGGTCCCGTGACAAGTCTTCTAAGAACCGAGCAGCCCCACCACCAATTCCAGAAAATGTCAGCCCCACCTGAGACTCCTTGCATGTTGGCCACCCTCTACGTTTTTAAAAACAAGCATATTATTAAAAAAATCTCTCATGTCCACCGTCCTTTTTTATGCTCCATGTAGGACTTTTAGTAAAGTCCTTCTAGCGAAAAAAGGCTCTTGTGTTCCTCACAACCATGTAGCCAGGTGTTTCATCCCCATTTTTCCGAGGAGGAAAGTGAGGCTCTCAGGGGTTAAGTGGCTTACATAAGGGTACATAGTCTTCCAACTGGAAATCAGGCCTCCTCACCTTGTGTTCCCTTTAACTACGCCACCTGCTATGAATCTCAGCTGGGGCAAAACCCCGGGGGCAGCTGGGGCAAAATCTTAAGACATCTGGGGAGGCAAAATCTACTCTGGTAGCAACCCCATCAGCAGCCAGTGGAACCCACAAAGTGTCGCCAGTGAAGAGGTCAAGTTCTAGGAGCTAAGCTGGATTCCAGGGGCCATAAATCCACCCCCCTCCCCAACCCCGTCGCAGCAGAAAGGCCTCACCTCCACTCTGGCTGCTGGACTTTAGCGACCAGCCAGAGCTCGGGGAACCCAAGAGTGGTCCAGATTGCAGATACCAGCTCTGCTCAGTTCCCTGGGAGATGTCAGCCGCCTGCCCCCTGCCACTGGCGTGGTGGCCACTGCCCAACCCACCGAGAACCTGCCAGTGGCCAAGCCACAACTCCTTGGGTCCCTGCAGAGGCCCTGGGCAGTCTCCTCCTAGCTGCGAGGCCCGGGCCCCCCTTCTCTCCCCTCCCCAGCCCATGGCTCAGAAACCCTTTTTCCAGAGGGTGCACTTTACAGCGGTTTCATTTTCCGAGGCAGTGCAAACAAATTTCTGCCTAATTGCCCACAAACGAAGAAAGTGCACATCAGTGTTCTAAAGGTGACGGGCGGAATCGCTGATCAGGCCTGGCACATCTGTTGCCCGCCGCCCGCACTCCCCACCATCTGCTCTCTCAGGCATCCCCCTCTGCAGCTCCCAGCCTCCGCTCCGAAAGCTGTCCATCGATCTATCCCACTTCTCTCCTGACACCTTCCCTCCCTCCGGACCTGTTCCCGGGCCCCACCCCCCTCCCTGTCATGTGCCACCTTGTTAGGTCGTGGGCTGGAACCCGGCCCCATGGCCCTAGCAGCTGGCTCTGGCCGCTGGCCTGGTTGCAGATGTTAGGAGCAACAAGAAGAATCCAGTGCCTGGCATGGTACCCAGCGTGTGTCTCTCCATGCACCCACTCACCTACCCATTTAATTCTCTCAATGGTTCATCAGCTCCTTATTTATCCATCCAGCGAGTCCCCCCCACCTCCACAATCCCATGTGCTAAACTATTGCAGGCACCGGGATCCATCTACGAATAAAAAAACCCACAAAGCCCTGAGTAACAGGAAAGTTAGGGTTGCCATCATGGAGATGGGGGAGACTGAGGGCAGGGAAGGGGGAAGATTATTTCAAGGTTAGACGTGTTCAGTGTGAGGACTTGGTCAGCCCAGAGGACTTGTTGAGGAAACTGGAAGGACGATCTAGATTTCAGGGGAGAAGTAAGTCCAAGCTGAAGGCTGAGATGTGGGCGTGGTCAGCCTCGAAATGGACTGCAGGATAGCACCCACAGAGGGGTGTGGATAAGGCCCAAGGACCAAATCCAGGGACGGCTGATGTTAAGGGGTCAGACAGGCGAGGAGAAGCCTGTTTAGAAGGTGGAGAATGAATGATCAGCGAGGCGGGAGGAGGAGAGAATGTGGAGTCCTGGAAGTCAAGTGCAGAAAGCAAAGAAGGAGCGGTGCTCTCATTCTTCATCCTTACACTCACCACGTCTCCATCCACTTCTTCAGTCAGTCATTCACTCAACAAGCACCCTTCAAGGGCTTACTGCCTGCCAGGCACCGAGCTAGGGGAACACTTCCTGGGGCCCCGAGGGGGAGTTTAGAGTGTATGTTTGGGGTGGGGGAAGCTGTGGTTCACAAACCTGAGCTGCCTGGGCATCACCTGGAGGCTTCATCAAGACAGACTGCCAGTAGATCTAGGACAGGATCCGAGATGTCACATTTCTAGCAAGTTCCCAGGAGATGCTGCTGCTGGTGGTCCAGCAGCTGTGCTCTGAGAACCCGTATGACAGAGGGAGAAACTCCTCACCAGGGGAGTTTGGAGGTGAAGGCACTGAACCTGACCTGGAGCTCTTGGGGGGGGGTGCCTCCTGCAGAGGACATCTTGACCTGAGACCCAAAGGGCTAAGAAGGTGCTCAGGACTTCTGGAATAGACAGAGGAGAGCGAGGGTAAAAGATAAGTCAGGTTCAAGACATCTTTCATTCCCCCAGCCCCATCTGCCCCTCAACTGCCCCCTTTGCACCCCCCAGAGCCTAGAGACCTCTCAAGTTGTATCTCTTCATAGAGTTGAGGATGGAGACATCAGAGGTTGGGTCCAGCCCCCAACACCCATGAAATCTCTTAACACTGCCGTCAGTACTGCAACCGCAGCCCGGTGGTCTAGCCTCGATTTGCACACCTCCCAAGATGGGTAGCTCACTACCTACCCATATAGCCAGTGCAGTTCTGACCGTAGGAAACGTCCTTTTGCACAGAAATCTAGGAAATTTGAACCAGCGGTTAGGCTGGGCCAGGATTGCTGTGTGTGAGGGGTGGGGGGTAGGGGTCCCCAGAATGTCCTAGGCAGGCCTCAGCCCTCACTTGCCCCTTCTGTCTCCCCCGCAGTGCTGGTGCTGCTGATCCTCACCCTCAGGCGCCACCACAAGAGCCACCTGAGCTCCGACGAGGACGAGGACATGCGGGACAACGTCATCAAATACAACGACGAGGGCGGCGGCGAGCAGGACACCGAGGCCTACGACATGTCGGCGCTGCGGAGCCTTTACGACTTCGGCGGCGAGCTCAAGGGCGGCGACGGGGGCGGCGGCGGCGGCGGGGGCCCGAGCGGGAGCGGGGGCGCGGGCAGCCCCCCGCAGGCCCGCCTGCCCTCAGAGCGCCACTCGCTCCCGCAGGGGCCACCGAGCCCCGAGCCGGACTTCTCGGTGTTCAGGGACTTCATCAGCCGCAAGGTGGCGCTGGCGGACGGGGACCTGTCAGTGCCGCCCTACGACGCCTTCCAGACCTACGCCTTCGAGGGCGCGGACTCGCCGGCCGCCTCGCTCAGCTCGCTGCACAGCGGTTCTTCGGGCTCCGAGCAGGACTTCGCCTATCTCAGCGGCTGGGGCCCGCGCTTCCGGCCCCTGGCCGCGCTCTACGCGGGCCACCGCGCGGACGACGAGGCCCAGGCCTCCTAGCCTACCACCCGCCCCGCCCCCCCCCGCCCTGCCGTCGGGGCGCGCCTCCCGGCCCACCCAGGGCCCGACGGGGCCCCAGGACGAAGCATTTCCCCGGCTCAGCCCCTTCCCCAGCCCTCCCACCCTCCGAGGGCGGCCGGACAGGAGGGGGACTTGTAGGGGGATGGACTCCCCGACGCACCTCCCCACGCCCCGCCCCGGGGTGGGGTGATGCGTGGTGCCGCTTTCGCCCAGACGTGCCGGAATTACCAGCAACGGTCATTAAAACTGCAATGGGACCTGGCACTGCGTGGCTGTCGGGATAGAGGGGGAGATGGAGCGGCGTTGCTGCGTGAAGGGGCGGGTTACCCACTCCCAGCTGGGGGACGACCTCTGGAGGGAGGGTGCTGCTGAGGTGTCCCCCCTCCCAGGTCTCCCCCATCGGAGTTAAGAGAGAAGGAAGGCTGTTCATTTACTAAGCGCCTACTGTGTGCTGGGACACTGTACAGAGACCATCTTAGTTGTCACGGAAACCATGAGGTGGGGCCCTGCAGGCAGCAGATGGAGAAGGCCACCCAGAGAAGTGGCTGTGGCCCGTCCAAGGACACCTAGCCAGAACGGTGGAGCCTCTGACACTGACTTCCCAGCTGCCTGGCCTTGGGCAAGTTACCTCACTTCTCTGGGCCTCACTTCCCTCGTGTGTCACATGAGGCTCATAACAGAACCTACCTCGAAGAGTTGTGAGGACAAAAAGTGGTCATGTGTCACGTGGTTAGGACAGAGCCTGGCACATAGTAGGTGTTCAATAAATGTTAGCCTTTGATACTATGGTTATTTTTGTCATTATCAGAAGCCCACCGGCCGGGCTCTCTCCCTCACCCAGTCGCTCTCCCCTTCTCCCAACATCTCCAACAGAGAAGGAAATGGCCCCAATTGTCAGCTCTGTTCCTGCCCAGAGTAGGAGATAGGGACATTCCCAGTGACTGTGGAGCCTTCTGGAGTCTCAGGGGGGACTGGGAGAGGACCCCTGGCAGGGGTGCCAAGAGAGGACAAGCTGGGCAGCTCTGGGACTGTCGGTGACGTGGGAGGGTTGACAGCAGATGGAGGGGCCGGAAGCCACTGGGCATGATGGGGACCTTATCTGTTTGGTCTGGGAGCCCATCAGTCTCCCCATCCATGGACCGTCCCCAAGTTAAGAACTTCAGGGTTAAGTTGTCTTCAAGAGCCTCCAGCTCTAAAACCCTTTGATGACAAGATATAAATCAGTTGTCCTCCCAGCCCACCCCCAAGTGAGTCATTCATTCCACATTGAGCAGCTGTGAATTCCCGCTCCTGCTAGCTGGGCAGCCTTCATCAAGGTCCTCAACTGCCGAAGCCTCAGTTTACTCATCTGTAAAATGGGGCTAATGATACTCCCTCCCTTAAAGGGTTGTTAAGAGGCTTCAAGGAGATAATGCATGTTAAGCTCTGATCCCAGTGCCTTCCTGACGCATTGAAAATGCTTAATGGATGCTCATTAGCTTTATTTTTATTTATTTACGTATTTATTTTTACTCTCCCAGGGATCATTCATTGATTCCCTCCACATTTGCCAAGGTCAACTGTGACAGATCCAGAGATGGTCATTATGCCCGAGTGCCTTACCTGTATTATTTCATCTAAATTAGATACTGTCAGCCCCACTTCACAGGTGAGGAAACTGAAGCCCAGAAGGTAGTAACGCACCCAACGTTAACACAGATCGGAAGTACTTCCTGCCTTCCAGCAGCTCAAGGCCCCAGAGGGCTGGGCGTGATGGGCAGAAGCAGCCAATAATAACGCACTTGATAAGAGCTGTAGCAGAACTAACAGAACAAGGTCCTGAAAACACTGAAGAAAGATTGAATAATTTATGGAGGGCTTCCCAGAGGAGGTGACTCCAGCTGCATCTTGAAGAATGAGATGTATGAGATGACCAAGCAAGCAAGAGCATTCCATGCAGAGAGAAAAGCATCTGCAAAGGCAGGGGGAGGGGAGAGGCCAGAAGCCTGTGGTGGCTTTAGGGACCGTGTGTGGTCCCAGGGGCTGGATCACTGCGTGGAGCAATGGTGAGATGTGAGGCAGGGAAGGCTGGTTGGAGGCAGGTGGAGAAAGAACTCGAAGGCCAAGCCAAGGAACTGGATGCTTTGCTGCACTTGAGCACGTGTCCTGATGGCAGGTATACGGGCCGAGCAAGGTAGTTCCAAATGGGGTGACATTAGGACCCTCATCCCGTGTAGGACGCTTGGTCCATGTTCCTGTATCTATCGCTTCTACAAGCGGACATGGTAACTCGGGGACCCTTGGGGAGACATGTGGTCCCCTCTCTCATTGCATGTGCTCAGCTGTCACATACAGAATCCCAGTGACATTTCTCAGATTGGTTTTTGCTCTCTCCATTGTAGAGGGGAAACTGAGATCCAGAGGAGTAAAGTGACTGGCTCAAGGTCACCCAGCTGGTCTAGGACAGAGCTGGGACAACACAGGACCCCTAATTCCAAGTCTCTGTTCTTTCCACATATGCCGGTTGCCTTGACAGATTCTGCCCCTGCAGAGAAGGAGGGTACAGTCAGTTTACCTGTCCAGAGGGACGTACAAACGTGGAGTCACAAGCATCCTTGAACATCTTCCAAATCTCTCACATGGGGAGTGACCTTCCCAAGGTCACACAGAGTTAAGATCCTGCCAGAAATAAAGAATATTATTCATCTAGATTCACCTTCTGAGCCTCTGGCTCTGTACCATTTACCAGCTGTGTGACTTTGGACATGTTATTTACCTTCTCTGTGCTTCTGTTTTCTTATCCATAAAGTGCACATACTCGGAACATCTACTCCATAAGGTGCTCGTGAGGATAAAATGCAGTAATGACCGCTGATACCTGATACTTACGGAGCATCTCCCATGTGCCAGGCACTGCTGCAAGCATATCACGTGAACGAACTCATCTAATCCCGCAACCACCCAATAAGTACCCTCATTTTATGGGTGAGGAACTGAGGCGCAAAAAGGTTGAGTCCCTTGCCCGAGATCAAATAGCTGATAAAGAGAGATGCCAGGGTTTCACCGAGGTGCTCTGCGGCTCGGCACCTCCCACATGAGCAGCACACACAGTGGGGGGCACACAGGAAGCACCGGGCGCATCTGATGTTGCTGTCTGTGCCCCGGAGAGCTTGTTCTCCGCTCGCTGCTGCGTTGTCCGGCCTGTGCGAGTCCTCAGCCTCCTCATGATTTCTTCTCGTTCTGGAGTGGGCCGTGGAGGGAAAGGCCATGCTCCCTCAGTCCCCTCTGCTTCCAACTCCTGTGTCCCCACAGGGCCCTGAGCCAGCCCAAGAGTGAAATCCAGTGAGTCCAGCCCCTGTACTGGGCTCCACCAGGTGTCCACGAACGCCAAGGATGGCAAGCATTTTGTGAGCAACTGTTCTGAGGGTCTGGGGTCACAGAGAAGGGTCTTGTAGTGGAGTACACAGCCTTTGGCCATCTGTCGCTTTCATTCCCACCAAATGCCCCCAGGAGCTTCAAATCCTCTCCCTGTGCCGAGCAGAGAGCACGGCCTCCCCAGACTCTCCCAGCTCCGGGCTCTAATTGGCCACACCCAACTCTATCAAGGCGCTCAGAAAGCAATGAGCCTTCCATTTACCATGTCTGCCCTCTTTTCAAAGCCTCAGGGAAAATGAAAAGAATTCCCCTTTACTGTCATTGTCTCTGTCACTGTCATCATCACGGGATAAAGGAGGATTCAGGGTCATGAGCAAGAATTGGCCTATAATTGGCCAGGAATTTGAGAGCAGGGGGTATTAATGACAGCGACAATGCGGAAGGTAATGGTGACCACACACTTCCCTAGCCCTTGCTGCATGCCAGGCGCTGTTCTAAGCCCTGCATGTAATCATCACCAGCACAGGTAAAACCCATGGAGGGTGGACTCTATGTTTACTCTGTTTAGCTCTTTACATAAGTTGCATTGTTCAATTTTAAGCAGGTACACAATTCTCCCTGTTTTACAGATGAGGGATCCAGGGCTCACAGACGAGGAGAGGCTTGCTCGAGGGCACGGAGCCTGTAAGTGTGCGTCATTGCACACACACACCCCACGAGTCCGCACAGGACCAGGACGACTCAGGTTCTGGGCAGAGTTTGGGGCGGAGGGGGTGTGGGGAGAGGAGCGGCTGGGGAGAGGGGAGGCACGGCAGACAGATGGCCAAGCTGGGGAGCAAGGTGGCGGTGGGGCTCCCGTGCACGCCCAGGTCCGCGTCTCTGGCGTGTACCGCTGTGCGTGTGTCTGCATGTGGCTGTGGGCACGCGCCGGGGAACGGGGAGGCTGGCGCCGAGCACCCAGGTCAAGAACTAACCTCCCACCTCCTGATTCAGGCAGCTGAGAGAGCCAGCTGCTGTCATAGGGGCCGGCTAAGCGCCCGCATCCGTCAGCCAGCCGTCAGCACGGCCCACCCCTGGGTCACGAATCAGCGGCTCCACTTACCTCCTGCCAGCAAGCGCTCTCGGGGCCAGCTCTGTCCCTGGCCGCGGAGCCTTTGGAAAACGTAACCCTGTCAGCCCTCACTCTGAGGGCAGAGGGTTTACGCTTCAGTGTGTGCACATGGGCGCACGAGCACGTGGGTGTCTGCACGTGTGGACCCTCAGACGTGCTCCCACCCGGGTGCACAGTGCGGACCCATGCCTGCTCACAGCCGTGCACACAGAGCACATCTGCAGCTCTGCACGTGTGCTCACGCGCCCGCGCACTCCACGGGGGCTGCAGGCCAGCTCTCACGGGTGCACTCACATTGGTACACAAAGCATACACGTACCTTCCATAGGTGTGTTCTCTTACATGCGTGTGCGTGTGTGTCCGCTGATACGCTTCCAATGTCCCATGCAAGCATGCACTCGTACACATTCATGACGCTCCCATGCGGTTACCCGGTACGTATATGTGTCTCCCCTCAGTTGGGCTTGTGCGCACGAACTCCTAGCCCCAGGCACACATTCATACTGCCATTTGCACATTTGCATGCTTGCATGGGAAAGCATGTGTAGCCTCAGGAGCAGTCAGTTACAAACTCTAAATTCCAGGGCATAATGCCTATAGACCTGTTTGAACACGTGAGCACTTGAGTCTGTGAGTACAAAATAAACACGATCACTCACAAACATCTAAACAACAAGGCATCCTCCAACAAGCGTACAGAACTACACGAAGCAGGGGCGCTTGGGTGGCTCAGTCGGTTAAGCATCCAACTCTTGGTATCAGCTCAGGTCATGATCTCAGGGTCATGGGATCGAGCCCCACATCAGGCTCTGCGTGGAGCATGGGACCTTCTTGGAATTCTCTCTCTCTCTCTCTCTCCCTCTGCCCCTCCCCTCTCTCTTTCTCTCTTTCTCTCTCTCAAAAAAAAAAGAAAAAGAAAAGCAAAACAACGATATATACCCCCCCACATCTGCCTGCCTACATGTGTGTACCTCCACTTCTGGACTGCAGTCCGCAGTCACCTAAGCATCTCTAGCCACGTGTACCTTCAGGCAGGCCCAGCATGGTTCACACACAGCCACGCCACATGAGCCTGGCTCCACGCACAAGCACGCACACACACAAACCTGTGCCTCTGAAGCCCATCTCCCACGCGTGCATGGGGTCAGAACCCTGGCACGCGGGTGCACACAGCCCCCCCTAGGGTGCAGCCTGCCCTGGTCCCCGATTGTCTGGTGTGCTGGGGACAGCAGGAATAGTGCCAACACACAGAAATCGCCACTCATGCAGAATTGCATCTGCCGCAAACTTCTCATCTGCTGTGCAAATGATGATTAAATGT